AACCTTAGAGCCTGAATGGTCTCCTTGTTGTTCAGTGAGTTTTGTGCCGTAGCCCAAAGTAAGTTGGTTGCACCATCAAGAACAAGCAACACCATGTACTTGTTCTTCCTCAACTGAATTTCAGCATGATCAACAAAGATAACATCTCCAAAGTTGGTGGATCGTATGCCTGAAATTCTGGCTCGCGGCGGTGGTGCAATGAAAGTACTACACACACGACACTTGTTGTACATCTCCTCATACTTCTGATAGACAGAGTCAGGAAGTCCTAACATGGAAGTCCTTCGTCTGAATTGAGTAGGAGACATGTGATAGTGTTTGATATGAAGCTTGTAAAGTTCCACCCTATCCTCCAGTTTCCTGAGCATCTTTCTGTATGCTGGTGTCATGGCTTGCACTTCACTACCAGGCAGTGGAATCGAAACTCGCCTAGGCTCAAGAGCATCACTACCTAGTTTCTCAACTTGACTTTCTGAATCTTGCTTACCACGATTTCGCGCAGGTGCAGAATGTTTCGGTTCAATGACTTGAGGTTCATCTGAATCAATCTTGTCCAAACCTAATTCCCTAGCTACCTTGTCAAGCTCATCTTCTTCATCAAGCTTGGGATAGGAGACAACAACCTTCTTTCTTGATGAACCTGATTTAGAGTCATCGACAACTTGGGGTTTCTGCTTACCTACGTGTCTTTTGGCTGCAGGTGGACCTACCTCAATCTTTTTCGAGCCTGGTCCATTTGAAATCGGTTTGCCTTCCTCCTTCTTTAATGAGCTTGGCTTCTTCTTCTGTACACCTGATGGCACTGAAGAGGCTGACTCAGGGTGAAAAAGATCATCAATGTTTCCACGGAAGGGCTTTGCACGATCAATGTCACTTCTGACAATGTCATCTGGGATCACGTAGTCCTCCTTGATCTTGTAGATGGTCTTGCCCTTCCAGAACTCTTCACTCTGTTCAGAAAACCTCTTCTTCTCAGTGCGCCAGTTGTCCTTGTGAAGAACCTTCTTCTTGCTCTTCTGGAATTCAATGTGGGTTTCTCTCTCATCAAGAAGTTGATCTTTTGGAATTGGAGTTTTCTCTGATCGAGTCATCTCATGTAAGTTCATTCTCTTGTCCTTGTGGCGCCTGATGAGTTCACGACGTAGTGGATCAACCTGCCAGTAGTCACCAGTCACCAAAGCTTCTCCTTCATGATCATCTTGTTTGACAGCAATCTGACTGTACTCAAAGTGATCGTGTTGTGAATAGAAACTTTTGACTTGTGGAGTCTTGAAATGAACTTGGCTCATGTACCATGCTACATCTTGTAGGTCGAGAATGAGATGAGTACTGATGGCTGTCCTCAAAACCATTTTTCTCATGCCAATACGTGCACAGGACAAATAAGCCTTCTCTGGAGTAAGTTCAAATTGAAATCCAAGGTTTCTTATCTGTGGAAGTGACATCAACAATGGGACATCACCTTCTTCGACAATGTCGAATTCTGTAAACTGAGTGTTCCATCCATGATCATACATGAATATCACAAGCTTCTCAGTACATTTTGATTGTTGTGAGTTTGCAAAGAAAAATCTTGAACTTGTTGGCTGAATTTCATACCAGAGTCCACTGTTGGGATGTGAGTCAACATATCTGCAAAATGCTTCAACTGCTCGTCGAGAGCCCATAGCTCTTGTGCATCCAAGATCCAGAATACACACAGTTGGTGGTGCAGAATTCTCTGTGTGAAAAGCTAGTCCATTCTCACATGCCCGATCAGTTTGTACAGTATGAAATGAAAAAGCACTCTGCTGTGATGGTTCCTCTATCTCTGTAGAGCATCCATATGAAAACAATGATGTGCCTTCTGCCAATGGCTTCCATGAAGCCTCACCTTCTTGAAGACCAACTTGCCTGGGCACTACAGCTGGACGTTGTTGTACACCTTGTCGTAGTGCACCAACTTCTCCAACCAGAACAGGGAATCTCTTCATTTCTCTCCTGTTTTGATGTGCTCTTGCATCACGTTGGTTCTGTCCTCCACGACGAGTGCGTCGTTGTTCATCTTGTGCTGAATACGTGGATGTCAAAACATCAACACGAGCTGGCTCTGTCTCTGCAACATCAACACGTGCTGGTTCAGTTGTTCCAAAAGAAAAGAAACCATGACCAGAACTTGAAGCTGCAGAAGAATAATGAGCTTGTTGAGTTTGTTGATTCTGTATGGCAGGAGCTGATGTGGTCTGAGGTTGAACATAGTTCGACTTGCCTTTTCCATCTCCTGGCTTTCCTCCTTTTCCATCATCATCCTTGCCTTTCTTGCCTTTCTTTCCTTTTCCTTTTCCTTTCCTCTGGAAATATCCATACTCATCCATGTAGTATGAATCATCATAGGCCCAATAGCCTTCATTCCAGGTTTGATCATCGGCCCAATAGCCGTCATAGTTTTCATTCCATTCATCATCTTGCCATTCATCTTCATAACCTTCTTCACTCACCATGTGAGAGCGGCCTTTCTTTCTTCCTTGTCCTCGGCCTTTTCCTTTTCTTGATCTGAAGAATCTTCGTCCTCCTCTGCCTTTTCCTTTTCCTTTTCTCTTTCCTTTACCTTTGCCTCGTCTGATGTATTTGCCTTGGAACCTTCTCTGATACCATGTGAAGTTGGCGTCATCATAAACACAGAAAACATCTTCTAAGGCATCCAGGAATCCTTCTGCGCCGTCTTCTTCATCTTCGGCCCAATAGCCGTCGGTTCCTTCTAATTCACCTTCATCCAGTACGAGGAAAGATCTTCTCTGTGCCATGCCAGAGGGTTGCATCAAGGGATTGTCAACTGCTGTTTTGGTAGTGCAAAACATTTCCAAGAACAGGTCACGTAGTTCTTGAATGCTGTATCGATCGAGGGTTCGTCCACGATGTGTCATGATACTTGTGAGTGTGTTTCTTTGATCTTGACTCAGGTCAGCTAGACTTACAAAAATCAATGCTAGCAAATTTTCACCCAGTGGGAATGCTTGTCGCTGTGCTTCTCTACGATTTTCCTGAAATTGTCTGAATGCCGCTAGTGCCAGTTCATCTGTCCAAAGAACAGCTACATGGGGTGTTCCTGAGGCTGCTGCTACTTCAGCTCTCTCTTGTTGATCTCGTTCATGTTCTTGACGTCGTTGTTGAACAAACAGAATTGCTTCAGGACTAGTCACTGTTACTTCTGGAAGTAAATCCATCCAAGACTCAATAAGTCTATTGCCAATGAGTTGAAATCTAGTTATCCACTTCTGAAGATCCATGATTCCTCTGTTGAACTTCATGAACTGCATGAAACGGTATAAGAACACGTTCTGGGCACCTTTGATGAAATGAGGTCGTAGAAATCTTTTGAAATAAGCCACTCCTTCATAGGGATCCCTGAGTAATTCTCTATCCAATAGCTTCTTGTATTGTTGAGCATCTCCTTCCAGTCTGTTGCGCAATGCTGGACCACGTTTCTCTGGTTCTAACTCCGTAATGTCACACCAGTCATCAATTGCATCCTCAAAAGCAAAGAAGCTGGTTCGCCCATCATAGGCTGGAGCAACCTTTGTGGTCATCTGTTGCGTCATATGAATCTGTGTGTGCTGGGGTGCTCTTCTCATTGCATAAGAGTCATATTGGTTCCATTCATTTGCATCGACAATGTCGAAGTCATCATCATCATAGCCATGGCTTGCCATTGCTTGGGCTCTACCTGGAGCTCACCCTCAATGAGGGATCACAGCTCCGCTACCCCCTGAAGAGGGGCCCTAGCGTCTACTTCAAGATCAGCTAAGGCGTCTTCCCCAATGACAGCACTTGTTTTACTCAGCCTGTTGCCGGTCCGTGCTTGTCTACAGGGTTACTCTATATACCTCTTGAGCCTTGAAGGGCGCATATAAATGTGCTCAATACTCATGCATGTACCTATGTAGGTATTAGGTCGAAACAAAAACAGGCCCCCCCCCCCCGAAAATGGTCATGGGTTCAATTCCCACGGGTGACGCGGTCACGGGCCCCCACATTAGAGGCACACTTTCCATGAGGGAGATGTCCCTGTAGTCCAGCATAATTGGTATGCTTCAGCCTCTAACAGTTGCTGCAAGGGGTCTTAAAAAGGGGTTTTAAATAAACCCCTTTTCGTGCATCATTTCACGCTGCACAAGACACCGTATCATGCAGTCATGCTCTGGATAAAATCATCTTAGACTGCGAAAAAACGTTTTTGGTGTATCATCTTAGGGGCGCAGCATTTTGACACCACTCCTCTCCCACTACACTACCTTTCGTCCGCCTCCGCCTGCTCTCAAGTCCTCATCGTCAGCATCATCATCATCGTCATCATCATCATCATCATCGTCGTCATCATCATCATCATCACCATCATCATCATCACCATGGCCATACTCACTGTCATCTTCATTCTCATCCTCATCATCCTCAACATCATCATCCTCACCATCAACATCCTCAACATCACCATCCTCAACCTCATCAGCCTCAACATCATCATCCTCAACATTCTCATCGTCATCATCATCATCATCACCATCATCATCGTCCTCCTCCTCATCCTCATCCTCATCCTCATCCTCATCATCACCATCATCATCATCATCATCCTCATCATCACCATCAACAACATTATAATACATTATCCTCCTACTCCCCCCACACTGTGTGGGGTCTCTTGCCGGGATATTTTTTCTTAAGGGGAAATGGTTTGTTTTTTCCACAGCAGCGTTAGCTTGGGGGTCTCAGCCCAGATAAAGGATCAGTGTGGTAACGGTTCAGTGCGGAGGTTCCCCAAGTTGAGATGTGATGGTTTTATGAGGTTCCGGAGGTAGTGGTGCGGAGGTTCCGGTGTGGATTCCCGGCTGGTTCCAGGTGGTTTCCTGGTTGCGGAGGTTCTCGGGTGACACTTTCCCATACTGTGCTGTTGGGGATACCATCTGTGTTTATTTCACATCTGCAAATATCTGCAAATCATTGTTGTAGTTGGTTTTGCCAAG